AGGAACGCTATCTAAAGTCCTAATTTAAAAAAAAATTATTTAAATTTTAAAATCCAAAATTTATTCCTAATAATTTGTACCTGATAGACCACAATTTTAGGATATATATCAAATTAATCAAACAAAATCCAGCCAACATACAATATATATATTCATAAAATCGTAGAAAAATAATTCAAAATTTGACAAATTAAAACTAAAATTTACATAAAACAAAATTGGAATATATACATCAAATAATTGAAATGATTAAAAAAATCCTTAAGAGTCTATGATATTGATTCTGTCATTCAAAAATGTATGATAGAAATATGCACACCATTCCTTTTGTAGCTACTCAATTCTAAGGTCCAGAAAGATAGCAAAACGAGACTCTGGAAAATACTGCAAACATAGATAGAAAAGAATCACAAAAGTTAAATTCCAATTTAGATAAATAATAACAATACATTATTCTTTCATATAAACATAGTCATATTGCAAAAATGGTTCTTACATTAACTGGAATAGTAGTTTGTTCATGCTGTAGTGCTTCTCCGATGAATAAAACTATGTAATATCCACAATCATCTGAGTTCATTACACTGTATACTTAATAAAATTTCGGCAACATTTCGCATAACACTACTACAAATAAAGCTTTCAACGTCGGTGACGTTGAACCGACGTTGAAAGTATGATTTTTTAAATTAATAATTTTTATTTATTTACAACCCCTTTACCCCCTTTATTTATCTAGAAGTCTCCCCTCTCTTTATGTTATATTTTTATTAGGTCCTCCATCTCTTTATATTATGTTTTTTAGAAGTTTATTAATTTTTTAAGAGAATTGTCATTGACAGGATTTGAACCCAAGTACTTTAGAGTTGGAGGTCGATACTCCAACCATTAAACTACTAGAATTTTCTAATAATAACTTACAAATAAATTATATTTATATACAAATAAATATATATCCGTGTAAATATATAAATATATAAATACAAATATATTTATATATTTTGATATATTTATATAGTTATATATTTATATGTTGGATGTGAGGGTACACTCGAAGGTGAAAGTGTGTGTCGAGTGAATTTTCAAAATTTGATGCTAAATTTGTGAGCGGTATCTTTATAAGAGTTTGTAATTTAATGACAAAATATAATCTTTATAATTTTATTTATATAATGATATAAAATAAATTTAGGAAACGCGTTATTCGCTCTCAAGCGAAAAATACTAATTTTCGCTCAAGCGAGATTTGAGTGAGTGAATTTCAGTGAGCTTTAACATATTTTCACTCAAGTGAGAGTCAATCACATTTTCACCCTCGATCGAAAAATACCAATATAATTTATTTGTAAGTTATTATCAAAAAATTATAGTAGTTTAGTGGTTGAGATATTAACTTTCAACCCTAATATACTGGGTTCAAATGTTGTCGATAACAATTCATTAACTTAAGTGAATTTTTGGCTGAAAAAAAATAAAAATATTTTCTAGAAAATATATACAAATAAATATATATTTACATGGATATATATTTATTTGTATATAAATATAATTTATTTGTAAGTTATTATTAGAAAATTATAATAGTTTAGTGGTTAGAGTATTAGTTTTCAATTCTAAAATCATGAGTTCGAATCCTGCCAGTGATAATTTTCAAATTTAAGTGAATTTTTGGGTGAAAAAAAAAGACTTTCCACGTCGGTTCCCATATGAACCGACGTGAAAAGTGTCTATAAGTGAAAAAAAAAAAATACTTTCAACGAACCGGTTCATCTGGGAACCGATACGTCGTCTCAGCTATAACAGACGTTAAATGACGACGTAGAAAGTATATTTTGTAGTAGTGTAACCTCATTCAACCATGCACCAACTATAACAAATAACAGTTTAATCAACTACGTAGATAATTATTGGCCAAGGAAAACTTTTTTTACAAATTGTCCAAATTGGGAGTTTCAAAATAATGATCCTAAATCATTATTTAGAGTCTCAAATGAGAAACTAAAGGTTCACTCAAGTTCATATATAATAATATCATTTAACAAGTATCTAAAATTACTAAAACTATCTTCAAAAACATCATACATAATCTCTAATACAAAATATTTCAGGGTCACACTAAATCATGTATATATCCTAACCAACCTATATTCTATTTCAAAACACAATTTCAGGATCACAATGTAGGCAAAAATAAACAATTCAGACCAAACTAAGATATTAATCAATTCAAATACTAATTTTAAATTGTAATTTCAAATTCACACTCACCCTAAAATTTAACTAACTGTATCAAAATCAAAATAGGGGTGCAAATTGTATCCAATATCACATTAATTCAAATAATTATATTATAATAAATCAAATAAAAGCCTAAAAATATATAATGCACTAACATATTGTAGACCTCCCAATAAGCGCGTCCTACAACAACAATGACAAATGAAGACTGGAAAGCGACACAAATATGCTTAAATGGAGTTGTAATACCCAACTGAGTAGTGAGAGCAAGAGAATGAGAGAGATTGAAGACATAGAGGGAAATGGAGAGAACCCAGAGCAAGTGGGAGAGCACAAAATGAGCGAGAAGGAGAGAATGTACCTGTAGTTTAATGGAAGACGCAGAGAGCGAGAAGGAGAATGCATAGAGCGGCCAAAAACGTAGAAATAGAAAACGCGAGATTGAAAAAAAGGGGATTAGAATTTTTAAAAATTTGACTTTAGATAGTTGTTCACCAAATAACCACTATCTAAACTACACTTATTATAACGGTTCCACGAAGTAACCGCTATCTAAAGTTATGATAGCGGTTCCACGTGTCAACCGCTCTTCAAAGGTATGATATTAAATAGCGGTTATCACACAACTATTATTATAAATTAGTTTAGAAAGTGGTTTTTTCTGAACCGCTATTAAAACATACTTTAGAGAGCGTTTTATTCCTAACCGCTATCTAATATGTATTTTTAAAAGCGATTTTTGTTAACCGTTATCTAAAGTGCCGTTGCGAAAACCACTTTCTGTTGTAGTGATAATTTGTAAGTATTTATTGTTTTAGAATGGTAAGTTTGTTTATTTTTTTTTAGCAATAAGATGAAACAAGGTTATTGTTAGTGTTTTAAAGAGAGTAAATGTAAAATTACATCATTTTAACCTCTTTAAAAAAAATAAATTACATCAATCTATCTTTTTATCTTACATAATCATTACATTGACCAAGTTAAAGATGTATGAGTTGTAGTTATAGCTTATTCAAATTTTACATAGATTTGGATAAAATAAGAATGATATTTTGTGATTATAGAATAACTTTCATAGATGATTGTAGATACAGGCTTTTGGAATTAAAACTTCTTACTATTGTAAATGCTATTGAATTGGCTCATAAAAAATTGGTTTCATTTGACGATTAAAAAAGACGCAGAACTATTATTATTGAAGCATTTAAGTGCACATATTGTTTCTTCGATTTTTTTTTTAAATAAGGAGTTAAAAAATACAAGACTAAAATTGTGTTAATGTGACAAAACTTTGGTATTTGAAAAAAAAAAAACTAAATCATGCTAATTTACACGAATTTTAAAAAAAATATATCAAAATTAAATAGCACAACTTTTATATACGAAATTATAGTTCGACTTATCCATTCCTGTAAATGTTTTAAAATTTACACTAAATTGATAATATACAAAGCAAATTGCACCAATTTGATAAATTTTCCAACAGTCATCATGGTTATGTGTATTTGATTTAAAGCGTTGAATTGTAGCAGCTTTAAAAAAATGTACCTGTCTTTCGAAGATCCCAGTGAAGTCTCTGATAAAAAAACATGATGAAACATATTTTGGCAGGACCTTTTTGGAAAGCTGCATATGGCTATCAATCAAGCCCCTCTTTGTAACGAAGCGTACGCATGAGTGGTTTTTAGATTTTACAGAAAAGTTGTTTGGCTTTGCATGTAAATTTAACCTATAATTTTCAAAATCCTTCATACGTGTCAACTTTTGATGTTTTGTCTTTTCGCCACTCAACTACATTTTGATCTTCTTCCTCTATTTTTCATTAGAGAGTGTATTCCATTTATTTGATTCAATATTTATAAATGAATATTATTTGTTGATGTATAAATGAATACGTGAGATTTAGGTTTCGGTTCGACTAAAATAAAATAATAATATATGTGAAATCCGTAATTGAACTAGAAATATGAATTTGCAAAAGAAAAACATTAATTTGCCAAAAAAAAAGATAATTCCGAAACTACAAACAAGAATTAAAATTAAAATTTAACCATTTATTCTTCTTTTAGTTATAATAATTATAAAGTGAAACAAAAACTCTACTACTCAAAATTTAACACAGTTAAATGTTTGTAATGACTCCCATTCAACATTCCTTATTATATTAGAGCATCCATAATTATTAATATTGATGTTTAATAGGTCTACAATTAACCTTCTATGTTAATAATTGAAATATTTCTACTAACAATTCTGCGGAAGGACATTTGCTACAATACACTAACAGCACAAGAATTTTATCTACTAACACCACTTAATTGATAAGGTTCCGCTAATCCACTCTATCAAATGTCACAATTCACAATTAGAAGAGCCAAGAGCTGCAAATCAACAAAACTTTAATGGTTAGTTCTTAAGAAATTAAAGTAAAAACATGGATAGGGAAAAACTCAAATAGGGCAAAGGACAAATGAAAACAAGAGAGATTCTCATAAAAGAAAGCCTCACATGAACCTAAAGTCTAATTGTCAGAATCATATTTTAAAATCCTAAATCTAACTTCTTAAGAGACCAACAAACTCAGTCAGAACAGAATATCACAAACATGTATGATTGTATCAACCAACCTACGTTTACATCACAAAGGAGAAAAAAAGTAATGTCAAGAGTGAAACTAGAGTATCAGTAGTCATTAACTAATGAGCCTAACATATGTATTTTACCTTTAAAACAGATACATTAAATTTCCTGAAACTCTAAGAATGTCTCACACGTACAGGTGCAAACACAATCACACATGGCAGAAAACAAGAAGTCCACATACCAAACCTCAAATGCCAAACTCTGAGAAATAAGGCCTTCTGCCCACCCTGATAACAAGAGATCAGTATAATAATAATAATAATAATAATAATAATAATAATAATAATAATAATAATAATAATAATAATAATAATAATAAAAAGAAAAGAAAAAGAAAAAGAAAAACCTCAAAAAGGATACCAAATTCGTCCCAAATAAGAAGTCCACAGAAACTAAAGACTAGAAAAAGAAAAATGGAAACGTTCAGAAGCTAATAAGAGAACCCAGAAGAACAAACTTGAGAAAACCGTTAATTAGACCAAGAAGAATTCTGGGTCAACACTCCAATCACCGGTCAGAAAAAAAAAAAAAAGAGTAAACAAGGAGGACTTCAATATCTAAAGAGAAAAATCAATTCCAAAAGGACTACAAATTTACCATTCAAGGGAGAAATACGATCATAGAAGAAGAAGAGGAAGAGTCCTCCTGGATTACTGGGTACAGGTGAATCAGCTTTCTTTCCTTAAGGCCGTTTTTTATTTATTTTGATTTCGCACTTCTTTTATTTTTTTTTAGTATGAACGTGGGATTGGGCTGGGTTATTGGGCTTTAGATTGTTGGGCTAACGAGGAGATTTAACCTAATTATACTTAGGTAAGATAGACAGCCCCACATTGTAGCCGCCACCCACCCTGCGCAGAAACGTCGCAGCCCCGCGACAAGGCCGTCGCCGCCCCCGCCAACGCCAGGGCCGTCGCACCCACACACGCGAGTCTCGGTCCGCAAAAATCGCTATCTGGTGGCACGCGTAGATTCAGACAATCTTACGTCCAGAATCGCGATTTTGATTACGGAGGAGTGGATTGACTCTGGACTGTTATGGGATTCAAATAGCAGAGTGGCTTTCAATAGCAGTTACAATGGGGAATTTCTGTGGGTTATAGTGTCATTACTTTATGCATGAAGCCTTCGATAATCCATTTTTACACGTAGAAGTAGAAGATCGTTCTTCTTCTTCTTCTTCTTGTCCCCCCCCCCCTCTCTTCTAACCTTCTCCTTTGCACTCTATGAGACTATGTTTTTACTTATTCTTATTTCTCTTGTTCTTTCATATTTTCCAGTTCAGTTTTCCTATTTTTATTGATGTTGTTTTTCTATTAGTTTCATCATTTTCTTTCATTATTTTTGATACTTCATTACTACGTTGTTATTGCTCCTAGGTTGGCAATTGTTTGAGTAAACTACGATTTATTATTTATCTGTACTAACGTTGAAAAGATGAACAGAGCACAAGGGTACAGAATTCGGGATTATTGCAATGATGAAATTGAGAAACCTGAAGTATTATATGCCTATTATTAAAACAGCATCTGTATGCTATTGTTGTCTTCATGTTACCAAGACCTATCTGATGGAGGCTGTTGTGGTAAGTTTGATGATTTCTAGAGTCTATCTTTCTTAACTTCTATTTTATTAAGTATCCACTTCTAATCTTGCAGACCTATGGTCCTAGCATGCTTCCTACAATCGATTTGACAACAAGTGTGTTCATAATGGAAAAAATCTCAACCCGATATGGTAAAGTTGATCGTGGAGATATTGTAATCTTGCGCCATCCTCAGCATCCTACACGTAAAATCACCAAACGTGTGATTGGATTGGAGGGTGATAGGATTACATACAGTTCCAATCCTAAGAGCAATAGATTGGAGGATGATAGTTTAAAATACATTTCCCATCCTGAGAACAATGATAAGCTTGAGACGATTGTGGTATGGTCAATTTCTTATAATAAATTAAATTTCTATTTTTTGTTATCATTTTGATCATGACTTTTGTTTTATTACTATTTCGAAGTTTGTTTTTCTGGATGACTGCTAATTGGCATCCTTGCTTCTTCTCAATAAGAGAATGGACTTGATATTTTATAGCTTTGGTGTGAATGTTGAAATTAGTTTTTTTTTCCCTTGCTGAGTGTTTTTTGGAGATTTTGTTGTCTAAGTTTGGCTTCCTGCAATAGGTTCCAAAGGGTGGCGTTTGGGTAGAGGGAGATAACAAATATAACAGCCAGGATTCAAGAAAATTTGGTTCTGTTCCTTATGACCTTATTCAGGGCAGGATATTCTGGCGGGTAAGTTTTTGTATGATATCATGACTCACCACACAAGCTTCCACTTCCTTTTCCCTCCTTTCTTCTTCTGTGACTTTCCCCTAATATTTGATTTTTGGATGTAGATAACACCATTTAAATATTTTGGACCGTTCTGGCATAAATGATCTGAAACAAAGCATTCAATAATGGAAGCACAATTTTTGCAACGTGACTTTGTCGGTTTAAACGTTTGTTTGGAATAATTTGTTAATTCTATTAAACTTTTAGGGTATTGGAAGAAAGATATCTTGACGAAGCATCGATCGTCTGATTGACTTTTTGGTACAAGGTATATATTTCTTTGTTTGGATATATATATATATATATATATATATATATATATATATATATATATTATGTAATCTTTAATAAGATGTTTCATAAAATAGTGAGGCATGATTAAAGTGATTTATTATTTTATATTATTAATCTAAAATATAAATAATAAAGATAAAAAGTAAATTTTTAATATTTTGTTTTTATATGTATAATATATAATATAACTCATGAAAGGTAAAATAGTATAAATCATCTTTTATCCATTGCATTCTTGCTTGTCTTGAATATTCTCAAATTTATGATAACTCTTGACCATCACGAGAGAGTTAATATGATTGGACAAGTTCATGGTGGACAGTGTCTTTTTCAATGTCGATCACATCATCTTAAGGTAATGTAGGAGTTTTCATTTTTATCTTTTTGGTTGACTATTCCATGATGGCACACACCGTTGATACAAATAATATTTAATTTGTTCAATGTTCTTTTACTAAAATAAAGAGTCCAACATAAGACAATGGAGGAATCCAACGTCAAATCTATGTTATAGTAAATCACTATGCATGTTATTAATATGACATATGAAACATGCATGTTATTGTTCCTTTATTTCGATATGTGTTGCATAATGTGACGTGACCAATTAATCGAAATATTATTTTTTAATGACCACAACATAAATATTTCCTTGTGTCAATTTTGCAAAATTTGTCACTTAGTCAATATATGAATAAGGACATAATTCCGTAGGACTTATTTTGATCTTTGTCCTATTGATCTCATTGTACATACCCTTGTTTTGTGATTTTTCGGTTCTTGTAAAATACTTGAATCAATTAATCATAATATTTTGAATTTAGCATACAAAAATATGCTTCTACTTGGAATTGAATTTGATTATGGAAGTGCAACCTTGATGTGGTGAGGAACGAAAAATTCATTATTTTTAGGCTTAAAACTTTTTTCTCGATAAATGAGTTACTAAATTGCACTATCTGATCATGTGGGTTGAGTCAATATGTCAAATTTAATATGTTCTCAATCTTTGATTGTTGGGGAGGATCTTTATGATTAGAAACAACATCTTTTCCTCTTTTTTCCCTTGTCACTTCGATGTCTTTTTGAAGGAGTCATGCGTAAAAATATAACAAATATGATAAGTGTGAATAGAGGGTAAAATACACTACATAATACATAAGTTGATAGATATTAAAAAAGTTATTCAATACATTTGCATTATAACAAGCAATTAAAATAGTTTTCAACCATATTACAACACATCATCTTCGATTTTTTGACATCATATTAATTAATTTATTCATATAGTGTGAAGCTGACATCCCAAATAGATGTTTAGTTGTTTAGTGTATGATGAGTTTGCGCACAAAAAATTGTAACATTGGTTCCCAAATACTTGGTCATCACTAATTTGCATATCAATTAACAATCGTCATATGTCAGTTTCAGAGTGTTGAAAGTTTGCATTTTTGTGCTTTAGTTCACTTCTGCTTTTAGTAGCTATGGCTTGTCTTTCCGCATGTGACTAATATTTCAGTAATGTTGTTACCTCTATCAATTGCTTCCATAATAATATTGAGTTTGGTATTTAAGTTGTTAAACTGAGTTTCCATCATATCTATTATCGAGACTTTTCTTTTTGAGCTTCGGGTAGAAGATGTACCACTGAATGACATTAATGGAGTTGATGCGAGATTATGTGATCGAGAAACATCTTCTGTTGTCCTAGAAAATGCAAACACCTCGGTGATATACACCATGTCATTGTTTAAATCCACTGTATAAGTTTGTCGTTAAATGTGTTGCGATTTGACCTGATATACTTATTCTATATTGTGGTGTCACTTATACTAATAGTGGGGATGCTGACTTTATGTTAAAGTCAAATATACTAACATTGTGGCATTAAATATCACCTAAAATAGTACACACGAAGGGGTCCACAAAATCTAAGAGACTTATTCAATGTTTGTCATGTATTACTTAAAATTTTTATTAGAAGGACATTTGGTTTCTTGAAGAAATGATTTTCAATTATAGCTCGTGGAAGTGAACCACCTTACTTATTGGAATTTATAATCAAAATTATCTTAGCATGTTCTATTTTTTACAACTCTCTTCATGGAATCGATAACAATGACTCCTTGGTACTTGAGGTCGATTGAGAGTTAATGAACCAATATGCACACCAATCTGACACTCAAGATCAAGATGATGATTATAGACTAGGATCAAACCTTAGAGATTTTATTGCAAACAATATGTGAAGAAATTATGAAAATAATTAATATATTGTATTTGTATCTTTAATGTACAAATATTTTGTGTTGGATATTGATGACCTAACAACCATGGTTGATGAGGCCTGTTTGAGCAACAAAGTTTATGGTAGTTGGATCACATAGGTTTATAATAACATTGTTGACTCCTTTCGACAGGAGCTTGGTGGGTATCACAAAAAATAATGTAAAAAATAGGCAAAAGAGCCTAAAAGACAAATGACAAGAGGTTCAAGACATTTTTTGTTAGCCTAAGTGCCTTTGCATGGAGTTAATCCACAAGATTGTTCGAGGATGAACCAAAAGTTAGGATGATTTGATACATGTGTTTGTTATACCTTGGTTTACTATAATGAACCATCAATCATTGTAAGCAAAACCTTTTGTCGTTACGTCCCATCAGGTGGTATGTCCTCTTCTTGGATCAAGAAAGAAAAGCCTCCCATGAGGTGGTACATCCTCTTGGACTAAGAAAGAAAAGTCTCGATGATAAATGTGGTAGAAAATTAGTTTGACAATTTAAACACTAATTGTTGTGGAAGTAATTGATAGAGTTAACACCATTTATGAAATATGTATGTGGAAAAATAAGTCATAACTGAAAATAGAAATGAACTATTACATGAGAATGCAAACTTTCAGCATATGATAATTGTTAATTAGCATGCAAATTGGTATTTATAAATAATGAACTAGTGTTACGACTTTTAGCGGGCGAACTCATCACACACTAAGCACCTATTTGAGATGTTAATTTCACACCGTTTGAATAAGTTACTTAGTTTGATGTGAAATCGATGATGTTTAGTAATATAGTTGAAAATTATTTTAATTGGTTGTATTAATGTAAAAATATATTGAACAACTTTTTAATATTTATGTCATGTATTTTAATTTTGATTTATTCATTTACAACTTATGATTAATTGCAGCATGTAGTATATTTTGTCTTTTACTCATGTTTATCATATTTTGTGATATTTGTAGTCATAATTTCCTTTTCTTCAAAAAGACATTAAATTGACAAGGGAAAAAATTGAAAAGAGGTTGTTTTTGATTATGGAGATTCTCCCCAATAATTGAAGGTTTAGAACATATTAAATTTGACAGAGGTAATGATATTTCCAAAATATTTGTCATGTATGTGGAAAGACAAGTCATGACGGCAAAAAACAGAAACAAACTATTGTATAGGAATATAAACTTTTGGCAATTTGAGACTGACATACGATAGTTGTTAATTGATATTCAAATTGATATTTATAAGTAATGAACTAGTGCTATGATTTTTAGTGTGCGGATTTATTATACACTAAATGCCTATTTGAGGTGTCAATTCCACACCTTTGAATAAATTAATTAGTATGACATCATGAAATTATAGATGATGTTTAGTAATATAGTTGAAAATTATTTTTGTTGGTTGTATTAATGTAAAAACATATTGAACAACTTTTTTAATATTTATGTCATATATTTTAATTTTGATTTATTTATTTATAATTTATGATTAATTGCATTATATAGTGTATTTTATATTCTATTTACGTTTATCATATTTTGTTATATTTGTAGTTATATGTGAAGACATTGAAGTGATAAAAGAAAAAAAAGAAAAAAGTATTGTTTTTTATATGAAGATTCTTTCCAACAATTGAAAGTCGAGAATGTATTAAATATGATGTGTTGGTTCAATACATGATTAAATTTTGCATATTAGAAACTCATTTAATGGGAGGAAAAATTTGAACCCAAAAGTAATGAGTTTTCTATTTTTTGCCATATTATGATTGTACTTTCATAATCATATTCAATTCTAAGAGATGACAAATTTTTATATGTTAAATTTAGAATATTACAATGAATTGGTTTGAGTATTTTATATGAATATGAAAATTGTATAATAGAGGAATTTGTATACTGAGGTCAACAAGACAAATAAGACCTATAAATTTAAAGTCATTTCCTAATATCTCCAAAGATAGAGTGTGTTTAAGAAATGACATTTAATTTCATGTTCAAATCAAATGTTTAAAGTTGAAATGTGAATAATATAAGAAGTTTTCAAATCAATGATAAACTTTTGTACTATGTCATTGTTCATATATTGACTATTTGGGTGATTTTTTTGCAAAATTGACAAGAGAATATCTTTATGTTGTGGGCATTGAAAAGTAATATTCTTGTTAATGGTCACATCATGTTCTGCAATACATATTGAGATCCGGGAACAATAATATATCTTCTATACGTCATACACATAACACGCATAATAATGGATTCTTTTATCGTGTTGGATTGGATTCATTCTTTTATCATGTTTGTGTTAGTTGCGTGTGACAACATAAAAATGTCAACTAAGAAGATGAATTGCAATACCTCATTATGATGTAGTCGATATTGGACAAGATGAATCAATCTAGTCACATTCTCTCTTCCATAATAGTCAAATGTTATCACATACTAAGAGGTGGATTTAGAACATATAAGCAAGAATGTAGTGGATGATTTACTTAATTTAAACCTAATTATTAGTACAAGATTTATAA